TAAGAAATATGTCTACACTATTTAAAATTTCTTTTAAAAAACTGAAAGATGTAACAACATGCCTGCTACTTACGTACCTCTTTCGCATCAGCTAAACTTTAAAAAATACACAACTTTATTGTAGCATTAAATAATATAAAAGGAATAACAATATTAACACGTAGTGCCCTCCACAATATGGCAACAGCGCTGGAGGGAAGTGCGACTAATTATTACATAAAAAATACTATAAAATCGGAGGGAACTAACACTAAACAATATCTTTAAAATATATATGAATTTTATTGATGGAATTCTTTACCCCTCTCTTGAGGGACATATAAAGAAACCTCCCCTTAATATATATACAGAAGCATTTTGCTATATATGCAACAGAAATACTGGAGGTCGGTCCGTCTGGTGTTTATAATGGAGGGAAGAACGAATTAACGATACATATATATATATATATATATATATATATGTATTAATATTTTTTAATCCGCAAAATTTATACCTTAAAAACGATATACTCCTAAAATAATTAAAAAATGCCAATTTTTCATTAACCCTACTTTCTATACGTCGCTGTATATGAAAATATCTACTAATCATCCAGTTCTCATAACCTACCACAAATTTGGTAGCAATGTACTTTTTACAATGCTGCATTTGCTGAAATTGAACTCTTAAATAGTATTTATGTACATCGGTCAATGTCAATTTTTATGTAAACAGTGACAATATTTACTTTTAAATTCTGTATAATCTGAAATATACTTTACATCATCCTATTTAATTATTGCACTTCGCAATTCTTATTCAATTTCATAGTTATTTTTAAATGAATTAAAATTTTCTTTATTATTGAAATTCTGACTTTTTGTACACAGAGAAATATAATATAAATAAAATTGTATACTATTTTCGACTTGACCCTATTGTTTGTTGTTACAATTATTTCCAATGTCAATGTTTCTTCACACAACTACTTAGTTGAAACATTAAATCATCACATTACCTTTCTGTTTTTTTTTAATAATTCAGTACGCTAATTTATTTAATAAAATGAAATTTCTTTTATTTAAAAATTTAAAAATCTGATGTGTCCAACACATGACTTTCCTATCTAGTTATTATAGGCTTTTTCCGGTTATTTTGTACAACCTATTGCAGCACTTCTATAAATATTTAGAGGATAAACTAAATATATACATTTTCGACATACATCTACCTCGAAACATTTTTCTATATTCATTGAAAACGAAAACACTGAAAAATTTTAATTTAGCACTCTTCCTCAAATTTTTCCATTACGGTTAATTTTAGAAAAATCATATATAAACAAATATTATAGAGATCGGTATCGCAAACAACTTTTAGTTCAACAATTTTCATAAAAATCAGAATTTTGCACATTTTGTCAAATTTCTCGAATACGGACCATTTCAGGAAATTTTGACATAAAACACAAATTATAGATAATAATATTAGAAGTAACTTTTATTTAAAGAAATTTCTTTTCCAAACGTAAATAGATGTTCTCACTGCCCAAAAACTAATCAGTTCATTGGACGATGGAATAAAGCTTAAGTTTGAAATTTGGTGTTTTTCTGTGTATCGGTTTATGAGTTATGGTGGATACATACATACACACACACACACACACACACACACACACACATAAACACACACAAACACACACACATAAGTACACACACACACACACACACATAAGTACACACACACACACACACACACACACACACACACACACACACACACACACACACACACACACACACACACACATACACACACACCACACACACACCACACACCCACACCACACACACACCACACACCACACACCACACACCACACACCACACACCACACACCACACACCACACACCACACACCACACACCACACACCACACACCACACACCACACACCACACACCACACACCACACACCACACACCACACACCACACACCACACACCACACACCACACACCACACACCACACACCACACACCACACACCACACACCACACACCACACACCACACACCACACACCACACACCACACACCACACACCACACACCACACACCACACATCACACATCACACATCACACACCACACACCACACACCACACACCACACACCACACACCACACACCACACACCACACACCACACACCACACACCACACACCACACACCACACACCACACACCACACACCACACACCACACACCACACACCACACACCACACACCACACACCACACACCACACACCACACACCACACACCACACACCACACACCACACACCACACACCACACACCACACACCACACACCACACACCACACACCACACACCACACACCACACACCACACACCACACACCACACACCACACACCACACACCACACACCACACACCACACACCACACACCACACACCACACACCACACACCACACACCACACACCACACACCACACACCACACACCACACACCACACACCACACACCACACACCACACACCACACACCACACACCACACACCACACACCACACACCACACACCACACACCACACACCACACACCACACACCACACACCACACACCACACACCACACACCACACACCACACACCACACACCACACACCACACACCACACACCACACACCACACACCACACACCACACACCACACACCACACACCACACACCACACACCACACACCACACACCACACACCACACACCACACACCACACACCACACACCACACACCACACACCACACACCACACACACACACACACACAAAACGTATTTTTTAAAAATTGATATTTCTCCTGATCTCTTTAATAACTTAAACTTTCCCTCTTCCAACCAGTCAAATACTATTAAAAAGCACCGTCTTGTAACCAAATGTAACAACCAACTACTGTATACTATTCAGGGATTAAGGCAGGGCCGCCGAGAGCCAGGTCGGGTTTCGGGACAATTTTCCAGGTCGGGCCCGGCGACAATTTTATAAAAAAAATTTGGCCCTTACAATATCACATTTCTAAAAAAAAACAAAGAAAACCAAAAAAACAAAGAAAAAATTTCTCCTCTTTAGTTAAATCTCTGAAAACAAAAAACTCTCTGATAAGCCAAGAGTTACGGACTTATTTTTAAACTTAAAAGAACTCATTTCTCTCAAGAAATAGTCTGCGAGTTTTCACTGGCTTTAAAATTACTGTTTTTACGATGACGTATGACATTTCTCATGAACAGTGAACATCTTGAGAGAAATCACTTTCTCTCGAGTTTGAAAATAGCTCCCCAGAAATTGCTTATATTATCGCTTACCGTCCGTAACTGGCTTTAAAAGAAAAAAATACCTCTCATACAGTAACCTTTTATCGCTATATGGATAGTTAAGTACTTTCTGTACGGACAAGCATATAATAGCTATTTTTCAATGTAGTTGCGCCATTTATTTTAAAACCATTTGTCATGTCATTAAACATAAAAAATCGGCAGGTTGTGCCCAGGTACCTACTGAAAAGCATAGGTATAACTTTATAGACAACCTAAATGGTTTTTGTATAGATTTATTTTATGTTAAACCAACTGTGTATATTTTTTCGTTAACCGTGTATTAGTATATTCAGTTAATGTTAACAAAATTGGGCCATTAATTGGTATATTAATGGTCTACTGCCTATTAGTAACCTTTTATTTATGACTATACTTGCATTGTTGTAAACTATCCTTAATTATACTTTTTACATAGTAGTCTGTGAAGAGTATTATAGGTTTACTTTTAAGACCCCAACATTTTTAATATTGATTCAAATTTAAAAATATAATACTCATATTTTAAACAAATTTTAAAAATGTCTGTCCATCCTTTCGTCCGTCCGATGCCACGTTTTTTTTTTGTGCGCACGATAAGTCAAGACCCAAAAATGGCATCAATTTGAAAATATTCAAAATCAAGCTTTAATTGGTATACACAAATTGACACTGTCAAATCAAACATTGAGATTTGAACCATGATTTTTTCATTTTAATAGAGATTCGGTCGCCAAAAATCCTGTTTCGAACTCTTTTATTAAAAGGCGAATAATACACTAGGTCGCTAAATAACTATTAAATTTCTTTATATACCTATATCTGTATTTTAAGACTAGTTAAAATTACCTGTGAGACTAATGCTGAAAATTAAAACCCCTTCTTAATTAAGTAAAAAATAATTTCATCATTAGAAATAAATCCGGCACTGTTGTGCATGCTAAGTAGTGCCGTAACGAGTTGTTTGTTGATGCCAAAAGTAAATTATGATATTGGCAATATACTGGAGACAATATGTGGACTAAACTTACTCTATATTTTTTCTCAAATATTATTTTCATAATTTACAATATATTATGTTCATATCTACATTATTTTTCTCTGTACACCAATTGGAATATTGTGATTGTTCCTATTATGTACTTATTGGTTTCTGTTGAGCGGTGTAGAAATAAATGCATAAATACTTAATATTCTGGATACTTTCTACAAGAAATTCAACTCAGAGCTCATTGTTTTATTTATCTGTTTTGTTACACCCATTTATATGCGAGTTCGAGTTAAACTGGCTCCTTTTTTGGCTAGGAGGTCTTCTTTCTCGTTTCCCGACACCAGCAACTATTTAAGAGTAGCCTCTGTTAGGGCGTGGAGAGACTATAATTTGGATAGTACTCCTACCCTGTAGTACAATTTAAATATTGTCTGTCTTTCATACCAAATACAGTCATTTAGGAAGATTTGGGCATAGACATTTGTTGCTGTTACACCATTGTGTACTGTCATAAAAGTGTTCTTTATGTACACATAATTTCTTCAATGTCGCTTTATTGCGCCGTCATTCTATTATTTTTATTTGGTGCCTATTCATTAAATTAGATTCTCTGTTGATCGAGCACCTAAATAAGTTTCTAACATTAATATTAATATTTTTTTATAGAATATATGCAGATACTGTTATTAATCACATGTCAGCATCTGATGGGGTTGGTACTGGAGGAAATTCAGCTAATAATGGATATTATCCTTCCGTACCATATGGACCGGGTGACTTTCACGATACTTGTGCAATTAATAACTATAATGATCTAAACAATGTCAGAAATTGCCAACTTGTTGGTTTAAGAGATTTAAATCATGTAAGTAAAGAAAAAATAAGAAATCTGCATCAGCGTTGTTCTAAAAATATTTTTGATTTTTTTCATATACTTTAATATTTGGAAATCGTGCATAATACACTCACCGACTTAACATTCGATCCATTCAAAATAATGATTTATTTAAAAATGCTCTAACTTTCAAATGCGAAGGCTGATTTATTTGAATTTTTTAGCAACTTATAGATAAAATACTGTGGCTATATTATTCGCACATTTAAAAGTATTTTACTACTCGCTGCATATACAGGGGAGAAGACAAAACAATTTTTCCTCTACTTTTGACACACCCTGTAGGTTAATTCTGCTATTAGATCTGCACACAATTAACTTTATCAAGAAGACTGATTTATTTCCAACATTTTATTTTTTATTTACCCCGATATCTTAAGTTGTATGTGAAATGTGACGGTTTAAAGAAAATGCTACATTTTAGAAACGGTCATAATTTAAATGACGGTAGAGAATAAACTACAAAATAGGTAGAGTGCTGTGGCCAACTCACAATATGACAACTGTCAAATATTCGTTACTTGGCAATTGCAGTTTAATTATCAGCACAAGAAATATTCATAATGAGCATAACGAGCAGTTGCTCTGGTACAAGACGGTAGGTCTTAGTATTATGCTTCTAGAATATTGGGTGTTAGAAGGTGTAGGATGCAGAGAGCGTACAACGTTTCAATGAAACTGGTAGTTTTTCGAGATGAAGAGGATCTAGCAGACGACGTTCTACAAATGTTCGAGATGATCGTTTTGTAACATTTAATGTTTTGCGAGAAAGAAATACTACTGCTGCCATGGCTCGAAATCGTTTAGAAGAAGTACGTCAGAAATACTACTGCTGCCATGGCTCGAAATCGTTTAGAAGAAGTACGTCAAGTAGCTGCTATCGAAATAACGATTAGAAGGCGATAACTAGAACATGTATTTTGCTCCATAAGGTCTGCAACTGGTCCGGAGTTACTTAGGAATCACAGAATAGCACGTCTTTGATTTTCCAGGGCGCATCAACATTGGAATGTCGATGACTGGATGAAGATTTTATTTTATGACGAGTCAAGGTTTTGTTTACGTTCTCCTAATGGCCGTGAAAGAATATACCGAAGAAGAGGCGAAAGGTTTGACCAAGCAAATTTTTCCACAAGACTCAGTTATGGAGGAGGATTGGTAATGGTTTGGGGCGGCAGCGGCATAAGCATAGAAGCTCGTACTGATTTAGTCATTGTTGGCGGAGGAGCAATGACAGCTAACCGATATATTCGTGATGGGCTAGATCCACATGTAATTCCATTTGCACCGTTTATAGGAAATGAATTCATGTTTATGCATGACAACGCTCGACCACACATTGCGAGGATTGCAACTCAATATTTGGACAAAACAGAAATTCAAAGGATGAACTGGCCATTACGTAGCCCAGACCTCAATCCAATTGAGCACGTCTGGGACATGATGGGCAGACTAGTTTATAACCGAGTTCCTTGTCCAAGTAATTTGAATTTTTTGAGAGATGCTTTGGTCTAAGAATGGGATCAGATTGACCAGATGGAGATTTAACATCTAATAGAGGGTATGCCACGACGCATTGAGGCAGTTATTCGCGCTCGTAGGGGAAATACCTGTTATTGATTTGTAATAATTTTTAGTTTATTTGTTGTTTGATTTGTTTATAAAATTATGTATTACTCTGCTAAAACTGATTAAAAAATAATTAAGAATGTTGCATTTTCTTTAAACCGTCACATTTCACAAACACATTACGATATCGGGGTAAATAAAAAAACAAAATGTTGGAAACAAATCAGTCTTTTTAATAATGTTAATTGTGTGCAGATCTACTAGCAGAATTAACCTACAGGGTGTGTCAAAAGTAGAGAAAAAAATTGTTTTCTTTTCCCCCTGTATGGCGAGTACTAAATTACTTTTAGATGTCTGAATAATAATCTTACAACTACAGTATTTTATCTAAAAGTTGCTAAAAACTTTAAATAAATCAGCCTCCACATTTGAAAGTTAAAGCATTTTTAAATAAATCATTATTTTGAATGGATCGAATTTTAAGTCGGTGAGTGTATATTACAAATACATTAGGAAAATTAAATTTGTCAGTCAGGTAATGCACGTTTCTTGTAAATATGATTTTGAGTTCGTTCATTTCCTTTTCGATATGATCTTTTTTTCCATAGCTTTGTTTAAAGTACACTCTTGGTCCGTTTTGTCTGGCTTTTGGTTGTAATTTATTATTTGCGTGATCATGGAACGATAAAAAACCAAACCAAAAATTAAAAAATTGAACAAAATTTTATTCTAAGTGGGGCTAGAACCGCATTAAAACTTAAAACTTGGACGAAACGAGAGCCATATATGTAATTGTGGAAAGGTTGAAAAATAAAAAAAAAAAATCTGATAAACTGAGTTGGGATTGAATATAAACACTTAAATTGCTAGAACGCCAGATACATAAGCTCTGGTGGTCTAGCAGAAGGAGGTTTAAACGGAAAATCAAAAGTTCGCAGGATCAAGCCCCGCCAGAGCAGAATATTTTTAACTTTTAAATTTTTCGTTGGTTTCTTATCGCCCCTCGTTCTATCTAGTCTTTTTTTGGCAATTTATATTTGCGTTTTAAAATAAATTTTTTACCTTCGTTTCTAGCAAAAAAAACATGTTAGTGATAAAATCGTAGAATATATGAATCATCTAATTGACTTAGGAGTAGCTGGGTTTAGAGTTGATGCTGCAAAACATATGTGGCCAGCAGACCTGAAACAAATTATGCTCAGAATAAAGGATTTAAATACGGAATTTGGCTTTAAACCGCATAGTAGACCATTCATTTATTTGGAAGTCATTGACACAGGTAAACAATATTTAGACACTATTTTTAAATACTAGGACATTCCTAACATGAAAATGATCACACAATATTGTTAGTTTATAATTTGTTGTACTCCACAATCCAAGGGAACTTCGAAGCATACCAAATAGATTGTACATAACTTGGAGCCACTCCAAATCCTACACTTCCTTAAGAAGATAGGATTAGAAAGATTATTACAGGTATCGAGACTATTCCCTTGCTGCATTAGCGATAGAAGGTGGCACAATGGTCTTTTAAGTCACAGTGTATTATTAATACCCCGTACTAAAGATAACATAGTTTAGGACACAGAATAGATTAACAATACAGAAAAGAAACATAGGGCTGAAGCCAAGACCCTAGTCACTGTAGCAACGCCTTTTTGATGGCGAATAAGTATTGTCAAAATATAATAGAAATAAATGCAATTTTCGCAGTATAGTTTCAATGCCTAGTTTATGTTCACGTGCATTAGTTTTGCCAGAGTAACTCTATGGTGCAAATGAAGGTCAAAGATTTTTAACCCTTCTATTTCAAACTGCCGACCGTTAATTTCCTTTCTTTATTGTTAACCTATTATATATTTATGATCTATTACATTATGTTTAAAAATCGTTCATTCATTGTAAAATAATTTGTTATTAGGTACCGAACCAACGAAAGCTAGCGACTACAAACATATAGCCACCGTAATGGAATTTAAATTTAGCAAAAAAATTTCAAACATGTTTAACGGAAACGACAAATTGACTTACCTTTCAAACTGGGGAACCTCGTGGGGTTTTCTAGACAGCAACTTTGCAGTCGTTTTCGTAGATAATCATGATCTTCAAAGAGAAGACAACCATTTGCACTACAAAGATAGCAAGAGGTACAAGATGGCGAACGCTTTTATGTTAGCACATCCGTATGGTATTGCTAAAGTCATGTCTAGTTTTCATTTCAATAGTCATGGTCAAGGTAATTTTTTTGTCATTTTATTATTTAAATACTGAGACTCTACCCATTGCTTATTGTATTAGTGCCGACGAAAAAATATTTATGTAGAAAAAATAAAAATTAAAACTGCATAAGAACGTTTTATAAAAATTTGGAATATGAAATAGATAACATTGGCAAAAAAAGTGAAAAAAATAATTTTAGAAAAAATAAACTTAATTTAACTGTATATTATACTCTTAGAATGAGTTATTCAAGACAAACCTAATGTAGGGCAACAATAACTAGAAGGTACTGGGCAAAATTATCAAAATACTGAATTTTTGACTTTATTTGACATTAAGAATTTTTTAATATACGCTGGTGGAACACCGAACTCGCCAAACTTAGAAGAAAACCACGTAAACTTTTTACTAAGGCTGAAAAGACGAATGAGTGGGGGGAATACACCGAAACACTCACAGAGTATAACAAAACTCTTTGGAAATCTAAAAGGAATTTATGGAGAACATTCTTTCAGGATATTTAAAATAAAACTGAAGAATTCTAGCAAAAGATCCAATGAATCCTGTGGGGACTTTAAAAACTCAAACAGGAGTATACAATAAAACTGAAATGGAAACATTGGAACTACTTTTTAAAACTCATTTCCCTGATTGCACAACAAACTCGAATGCAGCAAACCAATCCCACACGAACTAGAACTCTCAAAAAATAGTCTCCAGCCAAGAGTGGGAAACTGCTAAACGGGTAGTCACAACAGAAAAAGTAACATGGGCAATACGCACCTTTAATCCATACAAATCACCGGGACCAGATGGGGTACTGCCTATGCCTTTGCAACAGGCCATAAAAACGCTGGCCCCCCATATTTGTAGGCTCTACAGGGCAAGTTTTATGCATAAACATGTACCAAATACCTGAAAACAAAGCAAACTTGTTTTTAGCGGGGCGTCCAACGCATTCGGTATCAAAGGCATATAGAACAATAATAACTCTGACGACATTTCTATTAAAATGATTGGAAAAACTGATTAATCAGCATGTCCGGCACACTACTTTGATAGAGAGGTCATTTCATACAAATCAACATTCCTATCAATTAGGAAAATCTTTTAAGTCTGCTCTGCATCATCTCATTACCAAGATAGAGGAGGTACTCATTAGCCAAGAAATAGTCCTAGGAGCATTTCTTGACATAGAAGGAGTTTTTGATAATACCTCCTTTAAATCAATGGTAGCTGCCGCTCGCAAAGAAGACACCATCTGTTGGTGGATAGAAAACATGTTACGCGGACGGCAAGTACAGACACAAATGTTCAATGAAACCATGCAGGTGAATATCCACAGGGGATGCCCACAGGGTGGAGTCCTTTCTCCTTTACTGTAAAACCTAGTGGCAGATGAACTACTGAAAACACTGAAAAATCAAGGGCTGTACGCCCAAAGATATGTCGATGACATAGTCATGTCGATGGCATAGTTATCCTTATCCTAAGGTAATACCAAACCACAGTCTTTGAACTCATACAAAGAGCTCTTAAGCTGACAGAAATGTGGTATGTTAGGGAAACACCTCTTGGTAAACCCTGACAAGGTAAAACTTCTGACCTTTACTCGGAAAACAAGGCTGGAGGTTTTATAAACTCCAACTTTGTTTGGAAGAAGGCTGAACAAAACGAACCAAGTAAAATATCTAATCCACGATAAAAAAACTTACTTGGAACCAACATTTACAAAAAGTGACCAACAAATGTATAATGTAAGGTAACGGGCATTTGAAAAAACATGTGGATTAAAACCAAAAATGGTCTACTGGCTATATTTGGCAATAACAAGACCCATGATAACTTATGGAGCGGTTGTTTGGTAGCCAAAAGTAAACCAGAAAACATTCTAAACCTCCCACCCCTTGACCTAGTCATAAAGGGGAAGGCCAGAATGACTGCATACAGACTGGAAATCTCTTACAACTGGAACCCACTGGGACATATAAAACATACCAGAATAACACATAAAGTAAATGACTATATTAAACATGAGATCAGATCACATGACACCCCTCCTAATCTTCAACAGACTCTTGCAGGTCAATTGCAACTAAAACGAGGTAAATAAGGAGATAGATAAATACTTGCTTAGCAGTCTCGTATGGTATACGAATGGATCTAAAACTAACAAGGGAACAGGCTCTGGCGTACATGTAGTTAAACTCAAATGCGACATCATGGTCTTACTGGGAAAATATACCACTGTATTTCAGGCTAAAATACATGTAATCGAATTGCATGCACGAGAAAATTTAAGAAGGAAGTATAAAAACAATCCATTCTAATTCTCTAAGATAGAAAAGCAGCCTTAAAGCCTCTTGATTCAAACATAATCAAGTCAAAGCTTTTCTAGAACTGCCTTGGAATACTAAATGATCTGGCAACCCACAACAAGGTAAAACTAGCGTGGATACCAGGGCACAAAGGTATCCAAGGAAATGAAAAGGCTGATGAACTTGCCAAAGAGGGATCAGATCTACCATTCATAGGACCCGAACCTGTATTTGAGAGAAGCAAAACCTCTGCTCGACAGGCAGTGAACAGGTGGATAACCACAAAACACTAAAATCACTGGCGACAGATAAGAGGACACAGAATCAATATGCTCATGCTAAGGGGACCAAACCCACGCATTGCTACTGAGGCACTACAACTCGCAAGGCCTCAGATATCCACCATTGTGGGATTACTAACGGGACACTGCTTGCTAAAACACCTTCATTTGATGGGATTACACAATGATCCCACTACGTGTAGACTCTGTATGAAAGAGGAAGGAACCTCATACCATGTGATCTTTGAATGCGAAGCTTTTACTAGGCGATGTTTCACCCTTTCCGGCCTAGAACCTTCGAGCATATATATTTTATAGAGTCCGCATTCAATAGGGTTTGTTTACGTTCTGAGGGGAAATCTCAAGACACTGTTAACAGTGTCGCATCATTTTTACGGGGTTTGCAATTAATATAAATAATAAATTTGATAAATACCTTCAAAATTCTTTAAATTATGCACATATTTTATAAACTTGCATTATTTAAGTAGGCACCTATATAGTAATAGTATATAATAATAATTATTATTATTATTAATTTTATTATTATTTATGTTGGAAACATCAGATTTTTGAATTCAAACATCGGAAAAATGAAGGTTGAAATAATAGGCAATAAAAAAGATAAAATGCTTATATTTAAAAATCAAAAATATAAATAAATAGTAGGTATATTTATTATACAAATATTTATGACCTCTTGACACACGTGTACAAGAATTACAATACAAGAACTTTTTCCAATAATTTATTAAATATAAAAATATTGTTCGTAACCAATGTATGTTCAATTACTAAACGATATACTACAAATAGAAATCAAACTAATACTTAGGTACATTTGCACTGCTAGTCGTTAACAAATAAGTGAATCTTCCTTCATTTTTATTGGAAAACTCTCTTAAGCTTCGATTATTTCTTAATGACTAGGAGTGCAAATAATAGAAGCTTAAAATGACTCTTTTACTGAAAAACTCACATTAGGTTTTGCTGATTTCTTAACTACTATTAGTCTACTTAATTAAAGAACATAGGTACATTTAATAAAAAATAATTATTGTCAATTTTTGTGGTTTATAAAAAATATGGGTAGTATTAGGTAATTATTATAAAATAAAATGTATGTTGTATTAAAAAGTACTTCGTTATTTACATGCTTTCTAATTCTGCGTTTTCTTTTTCTGCAACAGAGGCTTGATGGTTCAGATCATCACTGAAAAATTAAAAATTTTAAACGATTAGCCCACAAGAAAAGTGCAGGGTTCTTTACCTTTTAGATTCATCTTCTTCTGGGGTAAATTCTGATGGCAATGCACCTATAATTAATCTAGTTCTTCCTCTACATCCAGTCTTTGACATAAATATATACCCAAAAAAATGATTGGAACATAAAACATCACTATTTGAAATGTTTTCTGGGGTAAGTTTAATATGTTTCACTAAATGCGTTTTATCGGCAGGATTAGCTAGAAACCTACAAAAACAAAAATTATTGATTTAACATCTTCAACATTATCATGATAAAATGACTTAAAAACAAAAAGCTTGTTTATATTGAAAAATTATGATTATTTTTTTTTAACTTTTCAGTAGAGTCCAAAATCAAAAACAATATTCCTGATACATATTACAAGTTCTTTAAATTTATTTCACTAAATTTACCATTTATTTTAAATTTATGTTTAACGGCCTTTTTCATAAAATGTAGGTAGTGTTTCTGTTAAAAAAATGGTGTAGAGACGCTAACGGTTACTAACCTGTGAAATGCCCTTGACTATGCCTTTTCTTATTTCTATTTACAACTTACACAAACTCTCACCATTGTTAAAATTTGTATCAGTAAAGTAATAAAATACAAAAAATCACTTATAAACTACAAAAATAAGCTAGAAGTTAATGAAAATCAAAAATCAAATGAAAGTTCTGTCAATTTTGAACGATTTGACATGCCAAGCAAAACGAAACAGACCAATGGGAATGCTGGACACTATTTTTCCCCCCTGTACCAAAACAAAGTCAATTTGAACGATTGCTCTAGTAAATATATGCTCGAAGCCTAGAACCGGAAAGCACGCCCAAGAAAGACTTAGTAGGATATTTATTAATACTAACCAAAGACACAGGACTATTTAAAAGAGAGTACCTGAATACGGGGAAAGCAGAGGAATAAAATAGACCCAAGAGGCCGCAGTATTCTGGGCCAAATCTAACTCTACCTGCTTATAACCGACACAGATAAAGATATACGCTATTTTTATCTACTCTTTGAGATATGACGTCATAACCTGTCGAGATATAACGTCATTAATAGTCGAGATATGTTATGAGTAGCTTTTTCAATTATCAATAGCTTTTTCAATTATCAATAGCTTTAATATATTTCCAACTGGAAGAGTACATTTTTTGCTAATGGATACTAAATTTTGTGGTATGTTACATAACATTATTTTAAAAAAAAATGTTACAAAACTTTATTTATAATTCGTAACAATTATTAGACATTTTTTATCTTAAAAGTATTGATGCCTCACTACGCAAAAAATGTGCTCTTTTAATAAGTAGGTTCCTTAAAAAAATTTGTGATGGCGTCATACCTCCAAAAGTGATGACGCCATAAAAAAACCACTATAAAAAAACACGCATCTAAAAAAAAAATCAACTTATGCATGCTATTGTTACTTTTCCAATAAAGAAACAAATCTAGTGTTGTTCCAATTTTCCCCAAAACCTGCATGTTACTTAAATATTAAGTAGTTTCTTCTTTTACCTTTTACGTCTTTTTTCTTTTTTTTTCATTTTTTTTCATTTTTTTTTCTTTTTCTTCTTTTTCTTTTCGTTATCTTTGAGTATCATCGAAATATCACACGTCGTAAATTGTCAGAAAATAGGATTTTTATAAGTAGCCCACTGTTTTAATCTAAGTAGGCTCTGACTTTGAAGTTAAATAAGTAATACGTTTTCTTTCATTAAAATCATAAATCTGTCACACAAATTGTCGAAACCTGTAGTAAATGGCAGGTATTTAAATAAAGAAAAGTTTTATATGTTAGCGCTGTACTTGCAGTCATGCAGAAATGCCGACATTACCTCAAGAAGGTATTTACAGATGTACCCCGAACGACGGCAGCCTCATAAAACCCAATTTAGAAAAATCGTAGTTAATTTAATTAACCATAAGTCCTTTGAACAAACTAAACTCTGATACAATATTGAGAATGAAAAACGCGACAGAAACATTTTACAAGCTAACAATGAAAACCCTAGTGTATCAGCAAGAACTGTAGATCGGGTGTCAAAATCAACGGTCCAAAGAGTATTAAATAAGAATAAGTACCATCCATACAAACCCATATTAGTTCAAGAACAAAAGGAAACTAATTTCCCAAGACGCATGCGCTTCTTTGGGTGGTGTACCAGAAAGTGTATTGAAAATCCCGATTTTGTGAATCATGTCTTGTGGTCCGATGAGAGTAGTTTTACGAATTGTGAAGTTTTTAATAAGCACAACACTCAACATTGTGGCAGAGAGACGTCTACAGACCATTTATTTAATCTAACTTACTTTTTTTAATTGGGCACCTATTATAAATTATTAATCATTTCGGGAAATCGACTCATAGGACCATTTTTGCTTGATTACAACCTAAACAGACAAAGCTGCTAGAGCTTGTGCAAAACCAGGTTGTGCCAGCTTTACGAGCTACTCTAATGGAAGATGAATTCAGAACAACCTGGTTTCAACAGGATGGTTGTCCGGCTTACAATACCATTCAAGTCAGGAACTTCTTAAGAGAGCATTTTGACAAGAGTTATTTCATTACATGGTCCAATATCTTGACCTCCTAGATCTCCTGACCTTTCGCCTTCAGATTTCTACCTCTAGGTCACACAAAGAATGAGGTCTATGAATTTAATCCTCCCGCGACCATGCAAATGGACGTCATTTTGCGAACCTGTAATTTAATATCTAGTTACGAAGCACTTAAGAAGATAATTAGATTTTACATTACATTACAACTTAAAAAATATTTCTATTGCGATTTTAATTTTTAATTTATATTTACTTGTAGGTTGTTCAAAGGTTTAAGTTTTAATTAAATTAACAACGACTTTTCTGACTTGTTTTTTTTAACAAACAGTTGGGAATTCATCTGAAAATATCTGATTTATTTTCTAACAACTAAATCATGGCCTCCTTAGAAAAAATAGACCTAACTTTACGAAGTGTGATATTTCGATGATACTCAAATATTTTAGATACTTGTGAGACATCACAAGACTGAAAATATTACGATCTTTCTAAAAATCGAAAAATCTAATATGGCGGTCATAAGAAAAATGAAAATTGAGGCGGATTACAGGATAACAAAAGACGATTGAGACATGTCATACACGCTATCTTATTAGTCTTAAAAAAGTGTAAATCACGTCACATTTTGACAGCTGTTAAATTATTCGTTTCGGATTTAGAGGTGAAAAACAAAATCCGCTATTTTCGGTTTTTCGCAGATATTTTTATAACTAACTGACCGATCGTAAATCTGAAGCCGGTTATCAAATGCACTAAGTTTCCTTTGCCAAGATCCCTGTAAAGAGAAGCGAATCTGGGACACACTGCATAACATAATCTAATTTATTAAAAGACGGATATACAAACTTATGCAATTACAAGTAAGACAAGGTTTCCAAAAGGGCAAAAATCTAAAATTTAAACAGTTATAAAAAATCATGAGACAGGTGGAATTCAGAAGAAAATAAAATGGAACGAAGAAACACTATAAATTAAAAAGATGGCGTAATGAGGTTTTACAGAAGAAAATTGTGGCAAAGAAACCCATTTAAACAGCTGATTTCGAGGAAATAAGACAAATGAAGTATATAGTCTAAGATTTAATCAAGGATAGATTTGGAACGAATTTAGAGAAGAAGTGAGTGCAAGCTGTAAACATGAGTATCTATTGAGCACAGGAAATAAAAAGCTACCGGAGGAACTAGTGGATAACGAAGAATAAAAATAAGAAACAAGGAAAAACAGTTAACGAAGTTAATGAAAAATAGAAAGTGTTGATTCTTGTCAATATGATTGTCAAATTAAGGACAAGGTACGTTTGAAATATAAATTTTCTCTCTGTAGAAATTTTTCCATGTTATTGCTGCAAAAAGAATAATTTTTTACTATTGCCCTGAAGGTTCAAAGTTTTTTATTTTTGTGCTTGCATCAATTAGACTAGAAAGGAAACTTTTAAATTAATTTAGAGACTTATCGCGTTGGTTCACTAAGAAAATGTGATCCAAATGAAAGGAGTAAAACAAAATAAATTTTTGAGTCCTTTCTCTCATTTGTGTTTTCAGGAAACACCAAAAGCGCTTGAATCTATTGAATGCCCCCTGCGGAAATAGAATATTAAATGAAATGAAATGATTAGGTATTTTTACCATTTCTTTTTTAATAGTAAATCAGTGCGGATAGAATCTAAATTTTATTTAAATGGTTTCTTTCTAGTCCCATTATCACAAAACAATAAATTGAAACTTAAGAAATGTTCTATAGAGGATCAATTTATATTTAAAATGTACCGTTCTATAAGAAGCTTTTTCTCATAAAATAAATCCGAATAAACATTTAAAGGAACATTTCATGTTTTCTGTATCATTTCAGGACCTCCTATGGATAGCAATGAAAACCTATTATCACCAAAAATCAATCCTGATAATACTTGTGGTAACGGATACGTTTGTGAACACAGATGGAGACAAATTTATAACATGGTAAAATTCAGAAACATCGTTGGTGATGCTCCACTAACCAACTGGTGGTCAAATGGTGATCAACAGATTTCTTTTTGTAGAGGTAAGTTTATTAATTTACAAAAAATGGTTACTTTTCTTTGATCAACAATTTTATACTTACTAAACATAATATCTAAATAATAATGAAAACATTTATTAAAATAACTCATATTGTTAATTTTTAATTCTGAATTTTAAATAAATAAAAGTGTTTTTGTTTTTTGTTGGATTAAAAAATTCCAATAGGTTGCAAAATATTTTTCAAAAGATAATTCAACCAATATTAAATAAATTTATATTGACATTAGCTCTACAACCACAGCCACAATAAAATAATGGCATTATAATAGAAAAATTAAGGTACCACCACCTATCAAAATTGATAACGTCCAAAACTTTAATAAACTCTCTATAGTAAGGTAAAACAAATACCAAACTTCCAAATTAAAGTCATCAACGACAATAATGTTAAAATAAACGTTCCGGAAGGACCAGAATATAGAATGCTTTCTGGAGCATTAACAGAACAAGAGTATACTTGTGGTACTCGTATGAGGCCAAACCAAATAGACCAATTAAATCAATTGCATACAAACTGCACCACTCTTGCGATCCAGAAAATATAATTAATGATTTGAAAAGTCGTGACTTTAACATTATAGCTGCTAGTTCAAAACTAAAATATAGGACTAAACAACCATTGAATATGATTATGCTTACATTCCAACACGACGAAAGTATTGAGAAAATAAATAAAATCAGAGAAATTATGGGAGTATACGTAAAAATTTTACCTCCCAGAAAATCCAAACTAGTACACTCAGAGGTACTGCGCGGAAGAGCCTCAATGCGTAAGATGCACAGGGAAATATGTAACTATATATTGTGCAAAACCAAAGATGCTCGACCTAAATGCGTTCACTGCGACAAAGGAATACTTGTTAGCTACAAGTGATGTGAAGTAGCCAATGCGATGCAAAAACACAAAAATAATAGCACAGCGAAAAAACGAAACTTACTTAAATAGCCACAGCTAGTAATCCAACATAAGCCTGCTAATAAAAACAATATAATAAAAAAATCTAGATTATTTAGCCAGATTGTATCTGGTAAACTGGAAGAAAAAATAACAATCAAGATTCATCCACCAAATATTGGAAAAGCTAAATAAAATAGACTCACGAATTACTAGGTCAGAATATAGTAACAGAGAAGCTCTAAACACAAGAGACAATAATATATAATGCTAATAGATTGCTGCAACACCAACAAGAATTGCTATCAATCCTAGATATAGAAAACATAGACACATGCTTAATTTTAGAGATTATCTTTACCAATAAGTCCTTTATTAAATTAAAGGGATATATTGTTTATCATACCATCTATCCTCAAAATAATTAGAGAAGCAATTGAGTATCATCAAGAAGCGAAGCGGGATGCAGGACTGAAGAATTTCAAGCTAATTTAGTAATGACATAATCTAAAACCTATAATGTTATGGTCACTTCTATATATTGTCCAAGACATACCGCTAAAAAAAAGATTTGTCAGTGGATGCGACTTCAATGCAAAACACACCCATTGCGGCTTCATAATAACAACAGCTAAGGGTAAAAACTCAAAACAAGCAATGACACAGCTAAAATGTGAGTCGCATTTACCTGACAAACCAACTTATTGGCCCACAGATAGAAATAAAATACTTGACTTACTAAACCTTTCTGTTGTACGAGATATTTCAGCAAACTATATACAACTTAATGAGGCACAGGGCATAAGTTCATATCATTCGCCCATCTTCTCACTTTTGTTGACACCATTATCCAAAAGGAAAGCCATCTTAAACTAATAAATATGATAACAGACAGGCAATACTTCAGACTGGACCTTGAAACGAAAATTATTCTTTTAGTTCCGTTAAGAACAAAAGCAGAGCTAGATGAAAAAATAAAACTACTTTTGTCCAACATACAGCAAGTAGCATGGGATAATAACTTCACTCATTGTTTAGCGAACAACAGAAAATAACTGTCCTTCAGAAATGAGGGACCTAATCCCTGCAAAAAGAAAACTAAGGAGGAAATGACATCAGACCAGAGCTCCATCAGATAAAATCAAACTTAACGCACCCAGCAGTTAAAAAGAGAGATTAAACGAATAAAAAATAAATCTATTTGTAAGTGCCTTAGTCAGTGGATACATGATAAAGCCACTGATTATTCTCTATTGAAAGTCACAATACGATTAAAAAGGCCCACTGTGCAGAATGTTCCAATCAGGAATACAGATGGCAGGTGTGCTAGAAATAATATACAGAAAGTTAATAGACTCGCAAAGCACTTACAAAATACCTTCCAACCAAATAAAGGAAAATAATTACCAAACCGGGATCTTCCAGAAAGAGATGACTCAATCATCAGACCATCCTCTCCAAAAGAAATTGCAAAATATATTTAATTCTAATAAGCTCCTGGTTTTTGATTTAATTAAAGCCATAATTAAACTTTCATACCTGTTTAATGCCTTATTCAAACTAAGTTATGTCCCCAGGTTGCAGAAAGTAGCTGAAGTTATTATGATTCTCAAACCAGGAAAACCTCTAAAAGAAGTTTCGGCATATGGGCCAATATCTCTATTGACTATAATATCGAAACTGTTTGAAAATTAATATTGAAAAGACTGAAACCCACCATTGAAGAAAGGAAACTAATTCCGTGATTATCAGTTCCGCTTTAGAGAAAACCATTTAACTATAGATCAGGTTCAGAAAATCTCAAAAGCAATAGTAAACAAAGACGTCTGTTTAGCAACCTTTCTCAATATTGTGCAGGCTTTTAATAAAGTATGGCATGATAGCTTAAAACATAAACTGAATGTTCTACTTCCACAGTCGTACTCAGAGCAACTGGATTCCTATATTTCAGATAGATTCTTTAGAGTAAAACAAGATGAAGCATACTCTGAATTAAAAGAAATTAAAGCAGTATTACCACATTGAAGTTTCCTGGGACCCACTACATATCTGTTATGCCCTTGTGACATACCCCAACTAGAACAAGACAATAGCTACAGTTGCAGATGACACTAATATCCTAGCGATAGGAAAAAATCATCAAGAGGCTGCAAATAAACTACAAACATCAGTTAATAAAATAAATAATTGGACCAAAAGATGGCGTATTAAACTAAACGAAACCAAATCTGTTAATATTAATTTTACTAACAAAAATAGTCAACAAATACCAATTAACATAAATAATACCCAGGTCCCTGACAAGAAGACTCAAGAGAGTAAAACCTTTTGAGTTAGCCAATTGATTCTGTTAATAACAAAGCGAAGCATTGTGTAGTTTAGTGTTACACGTTAGTTTAGTGTAATTAGGTTATCAGACCCTAAGGTATGCAAACGAGTAGAAGTTTAGTTTTCAAGGCTGCAACCATAGATAAGTTAGGCTATAACAAAATTACTCATTGATCAATTCTTGATTAGATTGTAACATTAATAAACTCCCTTTATGGAGTGTTTCTTAACAAAAAAAAAATATTAACATTAGTTGTTGGTAGGACGTATTTTCTTGGCGACAATATTCTTTTTAATAATTTTAGGATATCTACTAAATATCTCTATTAGGGTTTATGATTAATATCTATTTGACTTGATATATCATTTTCATGCTACGCATTCGTTGAATCGTTGTCTTTCTTTATATTTCTTGAGAATAAAACACAGATGTAAAATAATTGTTATGAATTGTTTCCTTAGTGTGTATTAATACGTATTTTCAATTCGTTAAACATTTTAATTATTGTTGCTAAAATAAACATTGCACAAGGAAAGTAAAAAAATAATGATGGCCGCGTCTACTTAGACAATTGACCAGAAGATTGAATATCAACCGAAATTAGAAGCCGGTTGAAGCTACTTGACGTAGATTCTTTTTCTTGACTTTTGCAGGCTATGCCTGTGACTGGTTAAACAACAAACACTTGTTTCATTAAGGTTATTAACAATATCTTCTTTTTTTTTGAAAAATAAAGATAGACTTGTTGGTCACTGAATGGAGTGTGTTAATCATTAAGATTTTTATGAATATGTGAAAGTAGATTGAACTATTTACTGTTTGAAAGGAGATTGAAATATTTACTGTTAAAGAATTTAGGTATGCAAGGTAATTTAATGATTTATTTTATGATTGGAAAAGAAAAGTATTGAAAAATGTAAATTGGTTTAGTTTTTTAACGGGCCCAATCAGCTATTTTTGCTAATAAATTTGAATGCGATTTTAATTATCTATTTAACATCTATTTGATTTTGTACTTATGGTTTAAATAGGTAACTTTTAAGTCTACGGAAAAAACTACCGTAGATGTCCCTGCGAAAAAAGAGATAACATTTTAATATATATGTTTCTTCTTAGTTGACCATGACCGAAAGACAGAGAGTTATGACTGAAATAAATATGTGTACACTCCTCAAATCGTTTTAAAAAAATGCAAATTCACTTATATTTATCCAATTTCTTCTATTTAGCGTTATTGTTCTTGATCTTTTAAATGCACATTTAAAAGTACTTCTTTACTGCATTCAAACATAATCTAGGATGACCTTGTTTTACGTTTCGCGACACCACAGCCTTTGAGATTTATTGTCATTCTCATTTATTCAACACATTTTAGATAGTTATGTTATGTTGAGAATGGGGTGTTAATACACTGCGACCTAAAAGATCTATTGTGCCCCCTTCTGTCGCCACTGCACTAAGAAAATGTCTCAATGCCTATAGCGACCCTTCCAATCCTATTTTCAGAAGGAAGTGTAGGATTTGAAGTGGCTTCAAGTTAGGTATATCTCCCTCTTCTATTTGATATCCTCCTAGATATAGTGCCCTTGGATTCTGGAGTGCTACACACTTAAATGTGAATGGAGGTTTTGTCCTCCTCCTTACAGAATCTGCAATCACTATCCTCTAATATTCTCAGTTTACTTAGGTGTCCTTTTAGTTGGCAATGCCCGGTAAGGATATCTGTTACAAAACGTAGCCTGTTCTTGCTCAAGCAGATACAGGCTTTTGATCTTTTCTGGTTATATTCACCCATAAGTATCTTGGCCTGTCTTAGCCCCAAGAGATTGTTCCAATTATCAGTTCTTCTACTGCCCAATTCTTTTTTAATCTCTCCTAATATTATGTTACTACTGATACCGCAGAACGGCTCAGGTCCTACAAAGGGTGTTTGAGCCCCTTTCCTTGCAAGACTATCTGCAATCTCTTTACCCTGTACCCCGTTATGTCCCGGGACCCAAGTGAGAATAACTCATTCAATTGTTCTAGGCATCTCCAGACCATTTTTGAGCTGATTACGTAAGAGCTCAGCGCTTTGATGGCTGCTTGACTATCGGACATAATGATAATCTCATGTCTATGATAGTTTCTCTTGATGTTAAACACAATACACTTTTCGATGGCGAAGCTTTCGGAGTGCTTGGTTCTCGACCCATACACTCCTATTCCAGTTCCTTCTATGGTTTTGGAACCGTCCGTATACCACTGAATAGCACGTCTTTCGGTTGCAAGCAGATTCTTGGCTCCAATCTTTCTTGCAGTCCAGCTATGTGGTTTTGAAGTTTTTCACAAAACTGTACTTCTTTTGCATTTCATCCTGGGGCATGTCTCAGGTATCTTTAGTCCTGAAGCAAGTAGACTTTTGTCTGATTACTCTGTTTCTGATCATTCTATATCGTGTCCTTTTTACCACATTCTCTATCATTAAATGTAGAGGGGTAAGGTTTAAGATCACCTCCATTGCGGCCGTGGGTTCTCATTGCACCAGTAATACAAATACAGGCTAGTCTTTGTACTTTTGAGATATTAGCTCTCGTAGTAGCTAGACTAGTTCTGTTACTCCAGGCTATAGCCCCGTAAGTGATGATTGGTCTCACTATTGCAGTATACATCCATCGCAGTATGTTTGGGTTACATCCCCATCGTTTACCTGCAATGTTTCTGCATAACATTAGGGCTTTTGTGGCCTTATTTACTACTTTCTGCTCATGGATGTTCCAGAGAAGTTTGTGGTCCATGGTTCACTCGATACCATCCAGTTTTTAACTAGATCCTTAATGCTCGGTGTGCCTTACACCTTGGCTTGGGGTATTGATGGAGTGCCATTTAGTTAGTTAATAGTGTTGTTTGTAGAGCAGCAATATTAACGTATCCAGAGGTGCTACGAGGAGGCAGACACTCGATGATTGCATTTCTCCATTGGCATGCAGAAAGAGTTACCTACAAGCGAACAAGCAAACAAGCGCGCAATCTAAGTTACAAAGCTATGGCTAAACTACAACCAACTCCGCCTTTTTAGATAGTTAAAAACAACATGATAAGCGATGATACCTATGGGTTCTAACTTGTACCATGTGTGTTTGTGAGGAGTTAACGAGTCACTCTGACTGGTCTCGCTACTGGTAAGTCCAGTATTTACTAAATCTAATGATATTGGGATCATTTATTAGGAGGATTGCATTTCTATGAACGACATTAAGGTTAGAAAGTATGCTGCAGCTCCTTAAATCTGTGAAGAATATGTGTTAATTTGTTAATCTGGCGACGATATGTTAAATGAATATTGTTAATTTGCGTTTTCTTTCAATAGTAATTCTAAAAAAATATGATATTAATGGAAGTATAGTAGAATTTTCCTCTGCCCATGGACGAGTTGTAGATGGTTAAAAACATGTATAACCAGTGCCGAACCTATAAAAATGGAAAACAGAAGAAACAAGAATATCAACAAAAGTTGCACCGAGTTAAATACCAACAATATAAGGGAAGTTGTAAAAGGTGTAAATATAAATTTTTTTCATTCAAAAGCAAGAGGATATCACGTTACGATCAAAATACTGATATAGAAGTAAAGAACAGACTTAGCTCTTCTCATACAAGTATATGATGTCTTATAAAATACGCTTAAGTTTGTTTTCCTGGATAAAATATGTATAGGTATTTGTGAATGGTCATTTAAACGAACATAACAATGTGTAGTTTAAAGAGAGGTCTCGAAATTGCGGCTAAACGATTTGAAGTTATACATGGTGGAAATAGATAAATTTGTTGAAGATGCAGAATTACAATTTTCCATAAAATCAAAGAGTGCAGATTGTCATGTTCTATGAATATGGAATTATTATAACTTTTTTTAAAATTATTTTTATTATTTCTAAATAGCCTCAAAATATGTGTTAAAAAGTGACGCATTATTATTTCTTTTACTTTCAAATTTTTATATTTATTATTTCAGGGAACAAAGGTTTCGTGGCCTTTACGCAGTGGTTGGACCTAAAAGCCAAACTACAGACCTGTTTGCCACCAGGACAGTACTGTGATATTATTTCTGGTGATTTAAAAAATAACAAATGTACCGGAAAAACTATTACTGTAAAGAAAGACGGCAAAGCATCAATTTCTATTTTGTCCTCTGATGAAGACGGCGTGATAGCTTTACTGAAAAATGTTAAAGTAGTTTAATAGTAATATTATATTAAAATGATTTTATTTAAATCATTAAATAAAATTATACATTAATAAAATTTGTTAAATATTAAAATTTTTAATAATCCCATTAGAGGTTTTTTATTTATTTGGATTTGTATTGTTTCTCATCACAAAATAAATTATTCATATTCATATCCAGGCTTTGTTTATTTATATTTATATGCTGCGAAAATTTTATAAGTACCTCTTGGTAAATTACAAAAAAGTTATCCATCTTTTAATGCTTGTTGAATATACTTATTACCGTAATAAGCACGTAAACATACAGACATGTGAGGCTCAGTTAAAGATTATCAAATTCTTTCTAAGAAAGGCATTGGCTTGTTGTATGTACCGCAATAATGTTACGTTATTTACGTCACGTCATATCAAACGGGAGAAGAACGAAAACCAAGATAGTGCTTTATAGCGTACTTTACTCGTAATTTACCCACTTTACCTACTATATACGTGTTAAATATTTGACTTTGAATACCTCTACAATATTAGATACAGAAAAAGACCACAAAGAAGCTGGTAGACAAATTTAAATATATACTAAACAGATTCATGCCTGGACTAAAAGGTGGTGTATCAAAGTGAATGATAAGTCCATTTATAAACTTATAAAAAAGGAGGTAGCTCATTCCACTCAGAATAGACAATGCTGATATTCTGCGTGATAATACAGCAAAATACCTGGGCATGATTGTAGATGCTAGGCTTTGATGCAGAGTAAAATCAAACGAGAAAAAAAATATATAAAATTTACTGGCAGCTATAAATAAATTCCAAGGTCTATAAAAATTGTTTCTCTACAAGCAAATCCTAAAACGTTTCTGAACATATAGCATCCAGCAAAAACAACATAAAAGTTATTCAGCATCAACAGAACAAGATACCAAAGAACATCGTAGATAAACTTTTCTACTGATGCAAATCTGAACTAGGAATGGAGTGTGATAAAAAAACTATCACCAAGTTTGTCAAACCATTTTGTTGGGAATGTTTAATTAATTACATGCCTTTTAATGCCGCGGCAACGTTTTATCGCATATCATTGTGACAGGTTTTCTGGCTTCACCTGTTGTGAGGTGGAAAACGTGTGAGGTGCTAAGGCTAGACAGTTTTGATATCGCAGTTTGTTTTGCGACCGTAAAGTATACTTGGAGGTCCTTTCGCCACACCTCTCGCCTCCAATGTTAGAAAAAAGTTATTAGATTATGACTAAAATTAATTTTTTTCTAATAGTTGAAGTCCTTATTTATCTAATACTGAACTTTTAACTATACCTTACCTTGCAAATTTTTGAGAATTTTTTTTTTAAATGTGAGTATTTGTACAGTGCCTCACGAGAAAGTAAGTCCTCAACAACAATTCTCGAATTAAACTATTATCTATTGATTAGATGGAGTAGAAAACACCTAAAAATAAGGTTTTTGAAATATTTAGATTTTGTTCTATACAATAAAATATATATAGTAAACCGTGGAACTTATTGAGAAATTAATATTAAAAAATCACAAAAAATTTTCAAGTAACCTAGTTGAAAATTTTTTGTGATTTTTTAATAATAATTTCTCAATAAATTCCACGGTAACCTATATATTTTATTGTAAAAAACAAAACCTAAATATTTCAAAAACCTTATTTTTAGTTTTTTTCTACTCCATCTAATCAATAAATAATAGTAAAATTAATTATAATTCGAAAATTGTTGTTGAAGTTTTACTTTCTTATAAGACACTGTACACATATTAAAAAAAAAAAAAATTCTCAAAAATTTGCACGGTAAGGTATAGTTAAAAGTTCACTATTAGATAAATAAGGACATCTACTATTAGAAAAAAATTAATTTTAATCATAATCTAATATTTTTTATTTAACATTGGTGGCGAAAGGACCTCCTTAAAGTAGTAGTAGTAGGAGTAAATTAAATTCAAAGTAGTTGCTGAAAAAACTTTTGTACAAAAGTAAAAAAAATCAACTTTTTCGGGCTATGAAATTATTTCTTAACGGCTACGTCGACCAGTAGAATAATAAAATAAATTTTAATTAAAAATTAATGAGGAACGATTCCTATCTTTTTGACGTTCGTTAAGTTCGCTGTGTTTAAAAATGTACTTTCAAAGTCGTCCTTTTTTTAAAAATCTGTTATAATTATGCACCCAAACCAACATGCATAAACCCCAGGCAGATCTGCTGATTCAGCCCTTCATCTAGTTGCTGGACGGATAGAAAGATCCCCTAACATGCTCTCAAAGCGAGCAGTAAACATAAGTGTAGAAGATGTGAATATAAGAGGTTTGGTTGCGAGGTGATGTCCACAGAAAGGGGTACCTCTACTGTAAAATATGGTCCTCGATATCCCCATCAGATATCTTAATAATGACAGTCACTACATAATAGCACATGCAGATGACCTGGCCATTCTGCAAACATGGAATTTTAAAAACATACTCCCCGAAAGAATGTAAGTAGCTCTAAAAATTAACAGTGGTACAAGGGCCATTCACTGTCTATCAATCCTAAGAAGACAGAAATGGTCCTTTTTACAACGAAAAGGATGAGAATGGAGTTAAAACTTTTAGAACTCCTAAACACAAAACTAAACTTTGCAACAGAGGTAACGTACCTAGATCTCACATTTGACAGCAAGTTAACATGGAACTCGCATTAAGAAAACAAAGATAAAAGAGCACACATTGCTTATGAACAAAGCCGCCGAACCATAAGGCGCACCTGGGGTTTCTTCGTAAGAGTCGTCGCATGGACTTACACAGCTACCATAAGCCCTATGCTAACATACGGTGCAGTTATCTGGGTACCGAAAACCCAAAAATTAACAGCTATCCGTAAAACTAGAACAAATTCAAAGGACAGCATGTCTCAACATAGTAGGAGTCATAAAAACAATACCGACCAGAGCCACGAAAGTCATTCTCACTGCCCTTGATATATACATCAAGGAGGTTGCTCTGACGACAATGACTTGCCTTCTCACGGTTGGAATAGAACCTGATGTAGGATTTGGTGAGGAGAGACGTCGCTTTTGGCAGGAGGCGCTCGATACGCTCCCACTGCTTCAAGCGAACACGGACTCCATCTCACCGAGATTATAAGTCATATAAAGTTATAATAGAACAAATAGAAGAGCCGGAAGAGGCAGGTACGATTCATATATACACTGACGGTTCTAAAACAAAACAAGGCTCAGGATGTGAAATATACTCCAGATTCTTAAATCTAAACATACAATGGGTTGTAAGCAATAGTGCCAGTGTAGTTCAAACAGAGCTAGCGGGACTTCTCATAGCAGCAAAGGAAATAATCAGAAACAATATCATTGGAAGAAACATGCTCATCTATACAGATAGCAGACAAGCACTACTCACCATGAACAGACCACGAATTTACTTAGGGTTAGTATGAATCTTTGGTCGAAGTATCCATCAACAATGTGGTCACCTTAAGATGGATCAAAGGTCACGCCACATCTAAAGGTAACCGTCTTTATGATTGGCTAGCCAAGAAAGCAGCCAACCAAATACTTTTCGGACCTGGCCCTTCTATTGGCCTGACAAAATCGGTAGAGACAGACCTAATTAAAGAACATTCCCTTGTGAAATTCAAGGAAAGATGGGATAAAACAAGAAACTACAGAGTTGCCAGGGAGCTTTTAAGTTATCCTGAAAACACTGCAGCAAAAAAATACTTGACTATGACTAGAGAGAATCTGCACCTAGTCACAGACATTCTGACGTAATTGCCAAGTACGAAAGCATCTCCATATCATGGGGCTGTCAGAATTCGCATTCTGCAGAGGGTGCAAACAAGAAGATGAGACCATCGAGCATATCCTTTACGATTGCTCGACGCTCCCATTAATTAGAAGATTTGTGTTCGGCGAGTATCGGCTAACACCGGCCGATATAAGAGAAGCATGTCTTGGCAACGTTGTCAACTACAATAAATCTGTAGGTTGGCTCACGAGCCAGGAGAAGCCTATCATCTTAGGAGGAGGCACAATGGGCCTAATGAAGCCTAAGTGCTGTGGGGGTAACCCACTCTTCACACGTTACAGATACAGATGCGCCTCATTTTAACGGAATGCGCTGACGTTGTTCGTTCTTATCAAATACATTTGTTATTAGCGCAATTTTGCTCTCAGTTTTTGTTAGTTATCTGGCCAATAGCTGCAGTTTTTCAATAAACGGGATAAGAAATTAATAGATCTGTTCCTTCTGTTTTTTTTTCTTTTATAAATGCCTGGTTCTTCATTTTTTAATAACTTCAGTGTAGCAATTCGTCTTCTTTATCTTCAAATTATTTTTTTAATAATAGATACTCCAGAAAATCTATATTTACGATACGAGCAATTATTCTTACAATGTAATAATTTATTAAATATAAAAAGATTGTTCGTTAGCAATATATACTACAAACAAAACTAACTCATTTAAAAAAAAAGTATATAGGTATTCAAAACTCACGAATAAATAACACATATTTTTCAAAAAAGTTGAGTTTTAAAATAAATTTAGTTTAGAAAAAATCTGATGTGTCCAATACATGACTTTCCTATCTAGTTATTATAGGCTCTTTCCGGTTATTTTGTACAACCTATTGCAGCACCTCTATAAATGTTTAGAGGATAAACTAAATATATAGATTTTCCACATACATCTAATTCGAAACAGTTTTCTATAGATATTCATTGAAAACGAAAATACTGAAAAATTTAAATTTAGCACTTTTCCTCCAATTTTTCCATTACGGTCCATTTTAGAAAAATCATTTAAAAACAAAAATTATAGAAATCGATATCGCAGACAACTTTTAGTTTAACAATTTTCTTAAAAATCAGAATTTTACACATTTTGTCTTGCCCGAATACCAACCATTTCAGGAAAATTTGACATAAAACAAAAATTATAGATAATAATATTAGAAGTAACTTTCATTTGAACAATTTTCTTCTCCAAACATAAATAACAGATATATTCCATAAAATATAAAAACG